TAGTCATGGAGAAAAAAGCCCCAAATCCTGTTGGGAAAAAACTGAAACCCCAAAAGATGAAAGCGAGCGTCGACCCCGTCAGAAACTTCGAGAAATGGAAGAAAAAGTACAACCGGACCAAAGCACGAGTGAAGCAAGAGAGGGCGCAGAAGAAGAAGCCCGAGTGGCAGGTAGAACGAGAGTACATCGATAAGCTGGTGAGCAGGTATGGAGAAATCAACCTCAAGGAGGTTGTCAAGTTCTCAGACTTCCCCATTTCTAAGAAGACCTTGCTGGGCCTGCAGGAGGCTCAGTATCGGCAGCCCACGGAGATCCAGCGGCAGACCATCGGCTTCGCTCTGCAGGGGAAAGATGTTCTCGGTGCGGCTAAAACTGGCTCCGGTAAGACTTTAGCCTTTCTCATACCGGTCCTGGAGTGTCTCTACCGCCAGCAGTGGAGCTCCATGGACGGCCTCGGTGCTCTCATCATCTCTCCCACCCGAGAGCTCGCCTACCAGACCTTTGAAGTCCTGCGCAAGGTGGGCAGGAACCACGAGTTTTCTGCAGGGCTCATCATCGGCGGGAAAGACCTGAAAAGCGAGTGTGAGCGGATTCACCGCACCAACATTGTCATCTGCACCCCGGGCCGACTCCTCCAGCACATGGATGAAACTGCCAGCTTCCACGCGTCCGACCTCCACATGCTGGTCCTGGATGAGGCAGACCGCATCCTGGACATGGGCTTCGCAGATACGCTCAATGCCATTGTGGAGAATCTCCCCAAGTCCCGGCAGACTCTACTGTTTTCTGCCACGCAAACCAAATCAGTCAAAGACCTGGCCCGGCTCAGTCTCAAAGATCCGGAGTATGTGTGGGTGCACGAAAAAGCCAAGTTCAGCACGCCAGCCACGCTGGAGCAGAACTACATCGCGTGTGAGCTCCACCAGAAGGTCAACATGCTCTACTCATTCATCAGGAGCCATCTAAAGAAGAAGATCATAGTCTTCTTCGCCTGCTGCAAGGAGGTGCAGTACCTGTTCCGAGCTTTCTGCCGTCTCCGGCCAGGCATGCCCATCCTGGCTCTGCATGGAAAACAGCAGCAAATGAAGCGGGTGGAGGTGTACAACGACTTCCTCAAGAAGCAAAACGCTGTGCTTTTTGCCACCGACATAGCTGCCAGAGGCCTGGACTTCCCTGCCGTCCACTGGGTGCTGCAGTTTGACTGTCCAGAGGACGCCGACACGTACATCCACAGGGTGGGCCGGACGGCCAGGTACAAGGAGGGTGGAGAGGCCCTGCTGCTGCTGCTGCCCTCGGAGGAGAAAGGCATGGTGAAGCAGCTGGAGGAGAAGAAAGTTCCCATCAACAAGATACAAGTGAGACATCATCTACCCATTACACCCCAACACACACACACACACACACACACACACTGTTCAGTAGGTTTATGTAAAAAAGTAAAAAAATAACAGTTTGATGTTTTTACTCCATTTAGAAGGAAATATTTCAAACCCTCGGTACAGTACTTTGCATTACTCCCCATTAATTACAAGTTAACACTGTTAATATCTGCACAAACTGCTGTCCTGACGAGGTGTGCACACGTCAAATAACTTTTTAAGTGTCACTACAAATCTGACAGAAAAGACTGACAGTGGTGACAGCAACTCAAATTTAGGAACAAGTACAGGTAGAAATAATATGATTATGCTGTACCCAATACTGCTGATACGGCTTAATGTGGTACTTATGTTTAAATATTGCAAAATAATAATAAAAACCTTTATGTCCACACTAGAGACGGCACGGTACCGCTTTTTATGTCCGATAC